AGGGCAGACAGAGCATTCAACAGGCCATGTGTCCAGGCACTCCGAGACTAAAAATCATGGCGGCGTTATCTATCGCTCTCACGTTCCCTATGTGTACATGTGGCTTGCTGGAGGGAATCTCTTCAGTAAACCATTTGTGTAAACCACGAGACTGCATGAGAACTGAACTCTCTGTGTTGACTTCATCAAGGATTTGTAATGCTTTAACGATCAGGGATCATAATTATTATATTATAATCTTGTCCTTTTATTTTTTACTATTGAGGTGGAATTCACATAACATATAATTAACCATTTTAAAGTTACAGTTGAGTGGCATTTAGTACATTCCCTATGTTGTGAAACCAGCACCTCTCAGGTTTCAAAATGTGTTTCAAGCTCTAATTCAAAATGCAAACCCTGCTCTTCTGTTTTAGTTTTTATTCGTTTATTTTGCAGTATTTAGAGATTGAACCCAAGGGTTCACACAGGCTAGGCAGATGCTCAACCATGGAGATATCTCCCCAGCCCCTTTATTTTTCTTTTTTAAAAATATTTTTAAGTGTATTATTAGTGTGTATGAGTACACATGTGGAAATGGGGGCATATGTGTGACACAGCCATGGCACACATGTGGAAGTCAGAAGACAACTCAGTTCTCCTCCCACTGTGGGTTCCAGGGATCCAGAGATGGAACTCAGGTTCTCAGGCTTGCATAGCTAGAGCTTTTAACTGCTGAGCCATCTGTTTAGTTCCTTCATAGTGTTTGATGTAAGGATGCAGGCATTATGCTGGCCTGCCCCTGTCACCTGGTAGAATGCACTCAGGCAGTACCTTGGTCAGCCCAGATGCAAAGGACCCCTTTAAAAGAAACACCTCCACCCACTTACACTCTCTTCTCTTTCCTGCTCCTGTCTTTCTGTCCCTGGGAATTCCTCTGGGACAGACAGGACTTTTCCTGTCTCCCTGTTCTCTTCTATCCTCTCTGTCTCTGTATCTCTGTGTCTCTTTATCTCTTTTCTTTTTCCTTCCTCCTGCCCCATCCCCTGGCTAATAAAACTTCTCACTTAAGCTCTGTCTGCCTGGCATGTTTGTCCCTCCACCTTGGTCACCCTCGCCTGCCATGGAATCTGCCAAGGTCCCCCACGCAAGGTTCCTCACGCTTTATTCATAACAGTGTTCAATAGAAATTTATGCTGACACTTTTTTTTTTTGAGACAGGGTCCCACCATGTAGCTCTGGCGGGCCTAGAACTCACTTTGTACACCAGGCTTGCTTTGTTCTTTGCATTTCTATCTGTTGTATGCCAGTTTCTGAGGACTCATCTATGTGTCAATTCAACAGATATTTATCAAGCACCTACATACTACACCTCAGTACTATGGTAGGAAGGCCATAAGGATGCAAGAACAATGTCAAATAGGACTGCACATCCGGGGAACACAGAAGCTGGTAGGGGTTTTAGACACTGAGTGTAGAACTGACAGCAAGTTAATTATGGTATATGCTTTTAGGAAAAGATGCTTTGGGGCCTAGGGATGTAGCTCGGTTGATAGAATGCTTGCCTAGCATACATGAAGCCCTGGGTTTGATCCCCAGCACTTATAAACTAGCTGTGGTAGGTAGGGTATGCCTATAATCCCAGCATTTAGGAAGTGGGGCAGGAGGATGAGAGGTTTAAGGTCATATTTGGCCACATAGCAAGTTCAAGGTCAGCCTGGGATACATGAAACCCTGGGAAAGGAGGAAGGAAAGGAACAAGGAAGGAAGGGGAGAGAAAGAAAGAAGGAAATTGTGTCAAGTACTTATGAAAGCCAGTCAGTTGGCTCAGTAGATAAAAGGTTTTGTTGTGGGGTATGCACCAGAGAAGACTGCTCCTACGTGGGTTTAACCAATAGAAAGTCTTTATTAGCCAGCCAGCAACTACACTCAGTGTTAGGGATCCCAGTGCAGCCTCCAGGCCTTTCTTAGGGAGAGATTTTAAGCACAAAAAAACATGTTCTGGGTACACATACTTCAGTTAACAGGAACAATTAGCCAGAAGCAGAACTACAGAACTATGGACTTTGATGGATTAGACCTTTGTTTTAGTTTTGCCATGTCTATGTGCTGAATTTTACAGCTTGAATGGCACTTCCACCATGGAGTCAGCTGTGCTAAGGTCTCAGGCCTACTAAGGTATGGAGCCCTGAGACCCACATGGTGGAAGGAGAGAACTGATTTCTGTAAACCACAGCTCCAGATAGCAATGAGCTCCACTGTGTACCTTTCCTCCAAACACAAATAGATAAATGATGCCATGGAATTATTTGTATTCCTTAGATTTATTTTATTTTGTGTGCCTGCATGTATGTCTGTGATGTGCCTGGTGCCTGTGGAGGCCAGAAGAAGGCATCTGATGTCTTAGCACTGGAGTTACAGATGGTGGTGAGCCATCTTGTGGGTTCTGGGAACCAAACCTGGCTTTGCTGTAAGAGCAACATGTGCTGTCCATCTGTCCGGCCCCTGTCAAAAACAAAACAAAACAAGAAAACTTTTTAAGAGAAGAAATACTTGTGAACTGGGCATGGTGGTGCCAGTGTAATCCCAGCTATTAAGGAGACTGATGCAGGGTGAGTTCCAGATCTGTTTGGTCTGGAAGTGAAAAAGAAAGTTGGGGATCTGGCTCAGCCACAGAGTGCTCACCTAGTGTTTGCTAGGCCCTGGGCTTAATCCCCAGTCCTGAAAGAATGGAGGTCCGATTGTGAACAAGAGAGCGGCAATTCTTATAGGGCGTGACTTTTGTTTTTGTTTTTGTTTTTTTAAGGGACACTGGGGAGAAATATCTTCCAATGAAATGACTGGGGTCATGCGAGAGTGGAAGTAGGAAGGGGCCTGTAAAACAGTGTTTTCATTTGCTACTGGAGAACAGCCCCTGACATAAACGAGGCCAGTGCTGGGATCACTGTTACCATTTTATAGACGTGCAAGCGATCCCTCCTCCCCGCCCCCACCCTCAGATTTAGCCTATCGCCACCTAGAGGTGCGTACAGTCCAAGACCTGCTGAAAGTGGAAAGCGTTTGTCCAACAGAGGGCAGGCTAAGAGGGAAGACTGAAGGCGAGCAGGGTGAGCCCAGCGTCACGCCTGACGCGGGTGTGGTCGCCGTCGTCCACCAGAGAGCGCTGCGGAACCATCTTGGCTTCCCCGATGACTGGTGCTCTGGTCCCTATCTCACCACACCTACTGGGACTCCAGTACTCCTGACCCAGCAAACTCTCGGCGCCCCGGGACTTTTTCTTGCACACTAGTGCCCTCTTATGTTTTCCTAGCTGCTTGTTCCTTAATCAAACTATGGCATAACAAACCACAGCAAGTCACCTCGAACAGTGAGCCAGTGACCACAGACACACGGACCTGCCTCATCCAGTCCCCGTGCCCAATCCCCAGGCAAAGAGCCACACACACTGCCAGCGGGTTGCTGCTACTGCGCCGTGGCTGCACGTCCCTCATGGAGGCACAATCTTGGGTTTCTTAAGGCAGGATGACCTGGCAGCGGTTGCACCCCACCCACACCCAGTTTCGCTTTCCTAATGTTAAAAGTGCCTCTAACTGAAGGAGGGTGGTGGAACAGGTTTCAGCATTTTCCTTATTATTATTATTATTATTATTATTATTATTATTATTATTATTTTTATTATTTATATATGCTCATTTGTTTAAGATTTCTTTTTTCTGGTGGGTCCCTCACTTTTCTCTCAAAAGATGCCCAGAGCTGCCCTCTTTGGCATTTGTCCAAAGTCCAGGTTCTAATAGCTTTCAGCTAGTTTAATTTTAACCATAAAGCCATCTTTTGAAATAATTACTTTTTAATCTGGAAAGAGCCAGTTTGATACAAGACCATAAAAACCTCCTGCTCCTGCTCCTGCTCCTGCTCCTGCTCCTGCTCAGAGTTAGCAGATGCAGAATTATGTTCATTCACTGCTAACATGTCTCTTAAGGGAGGGAGCTGACAGGGAGGGGGCAGGGGCTGAAAATGAAAATTGTGATAGATTGATGGAGTTGAACTGTTTCAATACCCACTTCAATCAACTTAATGAACTTGGTGTCTAAGGAGAACAGGCTGTTTTGAGTTGCAGGTGGCCAAGAATGGCCTCTTCCCAGAGCTGTCCTGTGCACAGCCAGGTGCCCTGTGGTTTCTTACACAGAGGACACAATGGCCATTGTCAGATTACCCCTCAGTTGTCAATCTAAAATGTAGTCACCTAAGAGACCTGTCAGCATCCACAGTCGGTTTCTCCTTAGGAATGGCCTGGCAAGGGCAGGCTGGCAGAGGCGTCCTCAGAGACGTCCTCAGAGCCCCACAACTGTCTGGAATACTTTGATTCCATTTCTTCCCTCGTGACCCCAGGCCTTTGTAATAATCACTTGCGTTTATAAAACCTTAAAGGATTTTTGATGTTTCAGGGTAGAAATTAGTCTTCCTTTTTGTTGTTGAGGTGGCAAACTTTTTATTTGGCAATAAAAGGTATCAAAGATGAGAATGAGAAGAAAAAAAAAAAACAAGATGTGTGATGGAGACCTGTCGAGAAAAGCTGAGGCAGACAAACCAGGGAGAGCATGACGTTATAGAAATCGGCTGTCTTTGTTGTTGGCTCATGCTGGGTTTGCTCATATCCAGGACACACACACACACACACACACACACACACACACAGAGAGAGAGAGAGAGAGAGAGAGAGAGAGAGAGAGAGAGAGCAGGCGGGAGTCTGGTAATCTAGTTGGAGCCTTTTGGGATCAAGGGGGCAGGTTGGTGGCGAGTCACATGTGTAATCTCAGCTCCAGGTGAAGACAATCATATTAGGCATTCAAAGCCATCCTTGGCTACATAAGGAGTTTGAGATCAGCCTGGGCTACATTATATCCTGTTTTTAAAAACAAAAATAAAACAGCAAACAGTCCTCCCCCACATAAGGGCAGATGTGCACTGTGGGTCCCCCCAACTCTCTGAGAGACAGCACGTGTTTCTGTTTTGTCCTTTAGTTCCTAAGACTTCCAGATCAGACCTGCTCCCCAGGTGTTCTCCTGACACTCTTTCTGCACTCACATCTGGGCTGTTACATCACAGGACACCCTTTCCTGAGTCCTCCCTCTGCATCAAAGGTAGGCATGGGGGTGGCACTCTCTCCTGGAGGGACCTGTCACCTCAAGGTTGTTTTTAGTGATGGCTTGAGAAGTCCTGAAGGTGGCTGTTGGGCTCTAGTCCAGCTGGGAGGGAGGAACACAGATCACAGATGCATATCTCATGCCACCTTATAGAAGGGACAAATTTGTTTCAATTGGTTCACGAGTGGTGGTGGTGGGGAGTCAGGAACTTTTGTGTCACGAATTCTTAGCACATCCTGATTGTTTTCCAAAACCCAGTAATACAAGATTATGAATTCTCTTTATCTAGGTTCTATTCTTTTTAAAGCAGTGAACAGTGTTTCTGTATGTGCGTGTGTGTGTGCATGAGCGTGTGTGTGTGTGTGTGTGTGTGTGTGTGTGTGTGTGTGTGTTGAGCAGAGGAAAATATTCGGGAGTTGCTGCTCTCCTTCCACCATGTGGGCCCTGGGGATTGAATTTACCATGGTATCAGGCTTGGCAGCAGGCACCTTTACCCACTAGGTATCTTGCTGGTCCCTAGGGTCTGCTCTTGAAGGCACAGGGAGTCCAATGTGAACAGCAGAGTTTGAAAAACACAGAAGGTCACAGGGAAAGCTTGGGTTATTGTGGCAGATGCCAGAAGTCCTGCACTATCCAGGGTGGGAGACCGCTTAGGGTACGAGAAGACTGTTTCTACATTAAACCATTGAGAAATTCCCTCTCAGCCTCTAATCCTGGAGAGAAAGGAATGGAACCAAAGGCTCAAATCAGAGTACATGCAGCTGACCTAATTATAAGGTTGTCTGACTGTTTAATTAGTAGATTTACTTGTATGGTGTTGGATAGCAAGGTAACCCATAGCCCTGAATAGTAGCAACACTGTCCGGGGGCTTTGTTCAGCTGGAGGTTTGTTCAGTCTCTGACATGGATCAGAAGTGGAATTCGATAGTGAAGCAGCACCCATATTTTAGCTCTGGGAAAGAAAATGTAAGTGAAGACCAGGAAATCCAACTGTGGCCAAGGAAGCCACAGACAAGTTGCCTTACCTATGCTGCCTCAAGAGGAGCCCCAGAGACTGTGACAAACTCAAGTCACATGAGTGGGACATGTGGGACAGTGTTGCTATGGGGTGTTTCCTGCCCCAGACTTAAACTGTCAGCAAGACACTGCATGTCTGCTCAGTTCAGTTGTCACTTAGAAACTCTGTAGATAGGAAAAAGAACTAGAAAAAACTCTGTGACTGACATGAGAGTGCTCTGAGTGAGCATCAGAGAGCCGTGTGGACTGGAAAGCTGGACCTGGACACACTCTTCTGAGAACATGGCAAGCTGGCAGGGTGCCAGTGCTGTGTGAGACTCAGTCAGATGAAGGAGGGAAGAAAGGAACGGCTAAGACATCAGCAAACATTTCCTTGTATCAAGAGTTATTTTCTCTTCCACAAACATTAGAGGTTCGACTGTCTGGGCCAGTCAATTACCTGGGCAGAAGAATAAACTGAGGGAGAAGCTATGAGTAGGCTGGAGGAAGTGGTCAGGGCTGATACCATGTACAGGCACTCTGATGCTGAGATGGGTGAACTCTAGACCTCACTGTAAGATGTGAGGAGTCACTCCAAGTTTATAAGCTCATTAAACTACTTGTATTTTTGACTGTCTACATGTTTGCCTTAGAGAAAATACACAGAGTGCTTCAAGCCACACCTAACCCTTCTCAGAGCTCTTGGCCAGCAGTTTCTTCTAATTACTCCAGTGAGCGTCTCTGTCATTTACAGTTCATAGAAGACAGGGCGGAGTGATTTCTGGTTTGGAATCTTCTGCAGCAAAGCATGGGGGAGTGATTCAAGTCTTGACATCAGACTGAACCATCAGAGACTTCCAGAGTTGAGGGTCAAACCCCACTCTCCAACACACACACACACACACACACACACACACACACACACACACACACATTTTGTGTTGTCTTTGGTTGTAGAGTCAGGATCAGGGCTTTATTTGTACTTCTTCCCCAACTTTATGGTAACAGGTGGCTGGTTCACCTGAAGGTTCTTCCCCATTCCTCCTGGGTTTTTAACTAAGTGTGTGTGTGAAGATGTGCACATGTGTAGTTGTGGGCACATGTGCCACAGGGCAGGCGTGGAGGCTGAGGACAGCTCACAAGTCAGTTCTTTCCTTCTACCACGTGGGTCCCAGAGACTATTCTGGTCAACAGTCTTAGCAGCAAGTACTTTTACTCACTGAGGCATCTATGTATTTATTTATTCATTTATTTATATTATTTAATAAAAATAACAAGTATTAGTATATATTACAAGTATATTTCCATGTTATTATTTATTTAGACAGGGTCTTACTCTGTAACTCAAGTTGACCTTAAATTCACTATGTAGTCAGGCTGACCTTCTACTCTTGGAGAGCCTTCTGGCTCAGCCTCCTGAGTGCTGAGGTCATAGGTGTGTGCCACTATTCCTACATTCCTCCCTCCCTCTTTCTGTTCCTCCCTTCCTTCCATCTCTCCTCCCCCTCCTTTCCAGTCTTCCCTTCCCTCCATTTCTTCTGAATCTTTCCCTTCTTCTCTCCTAATCTTCCTTCCTTTCTCCTTTCTTTCCTCCGTTTCTATAGAGTCTTATGTGGTCCAGGCTGGCATCAATTCACTATGTAGCAAAGGATCACCTTCCACGTCTAATCCGATTCTCTCCTTCTCTCCACCTCTCGAGTTCTGAGATTATAGGCATGTACCATTATGGGCAGGTTCATGAAGTGCTGGGCTCAAACCCAGGGCTTTGTGCACTCTAGGGCAGTGCTTTGTCAACTGAGCTACGTCAGCCAAGGCCTGCCACTCTAGGCAGTCCTTCTGCCATAGTGTTCCATGTGCTGGAACTACAAGGCACAGGCTATCACTCCCAGCCTCAGCACTTATAATTTGGGGAAATGAAGAGACTTTTGCCATTCTACTTCTTCCCTCCTTCTCTTCCCTTCGCATCTCTCTTCTCCCTACTATCCTCCCTCCCTCCCTTGGATGATTGTGAGACTACATCAATAAATTAGAGATCACAAAGTCCTTTAGATCACTTCAAGAAAGGTGTAGCCAGGTTCATTATCATACCTGGGTCTGCTTACAATCCCCACTAGATTTTTCTGTCTTCTGGCCTGGGGATGGTACCCAAGACCAGTAAGACATGCTACCCAGTCAGTTACAAATGGTCCTATGCTGAAGTTGGTGTTTTCTGATTTAGCACCAATGGCCTTATCTCCAAAAGGGGCTAAGTGCTTGAGCGACTCCTGCTCCTCACCACCTCTGAGGTGAGTGTGCTTCCTCCCTGTCTCAGGAGCTAATAATAGGTGGGATCAAAAGCCTGTTCCTCTGACGCACCTTTATGACATGTTTTCAAAGGGGAGGCAGCAGGGAAATGGTTAACCTCTTCACCCTGCAACCTAGTGAGGCAGAAGCCTTACTTTCCAAAACAGCCAGGAGTCTAGGAACATCAAGGCAGCCACAAGCCTTGTAACCTCCATGCCACTGTGCCTTGTGGGTGGGGCTGCCTGACCAACAGCATAAACAGACACATGGTCAGAGGTCCTGATGCTTGGACAGGTATCTCATTCTATACTAGCTCTCTTTGGACAATGGCCCTCCATTCAGCCTGTGACATGTAAAGCCTGTCAGGTGCCTCCTTCATCTGAATACCTCAGGGGTAGTAAAGAGCTGCACTTGAAAACAATTTCATTTTTAGTGACATGTATGGGTATATCCATGTAAGTGCAGGCTCCTGCCGAGACTAGAAGCATCAGATCCCCTTGAATTGTAGTTGCAGGTGATTGTGAACTGCCCAACATAGGTGCTAGGAATCGAACCTGGGTCCACTGTAAGAACAGTCTTTTAGACACTGAACCTCAAGAGTCATTGTGTTGTTGTCATTTAAAAATTGGGGGGTGGGGTGGGGCTGGAGAGATGGCTCTGTGTTTAGGAGCACTGTCTGCGCTTCCAGAGGTCCTGAGTTCAATTCCCAGCAACCACATGATGACTCACAACCATCAATAGTGGGATCTGATGCCCTCTTCTGGGACAGAGGTGTACATGCAGACAGAGCACTCACATACATAAAATAAATCTTCATGAAAAGTTGGGGAGCGGGCTGGAGAGTTTTCTCAGTGATTAAGACTGCTTGTTGCTCTTGTAGAGGACCCTGGTTTGGTTCCCAGAACCCACACAATGGCTAACAATCATCTGTAATTCCAGTACCATGGGATCCAGTGCCTACTTGTGACTTCGTTGGCAGCAAGCATGCATGCAGTACACTTACATGCATACATACAGTCACAACACTCGTGTGCTTAAAAATAAATCTAAAAAGATTATTTATAGAGTGTGTGTGTGGAGAGAGAGAGAGAGACAGACAGACAGACAGAGAGAGAGAGAGAGAGAGATGTGGAGAGAGAGAGACAGACAGACAGACAGACAGACAGACAGAGAGAGAGAGAGAGAGAGAGAGAGAGAGAGAGAGAGTCTGCATCACATATGTGGTCACAGTTCGGGAGTCAGTTCTCTCTTCCGACTATGTAGATTCTGGGGTTGTCACTTTACAGCAAGTGCTGCCAAATGGTTAAAGAGTCACCAAGCCATCTCACAGGTGTCCCTTTCCATCCTTTTATTTATTTAGCTATTTTCCTAAAAATTAAGGTAACATCTTCTTTCCTTCCTTCCTTCCTTCCTTCCTTCCTTCCTTCCTCCCTTCCTTCCTCCTCTGTATGGGGGTGTTTTGCCTGCATATATGTCTGTGCATCAAATGCATTCCTGGTGGTGGCTGATGAATTCAGAAGAGGGTTTGGGATCCTCCGAGACTGGAGTTACAGACAGTTGTGAGCTGCCATGTGGGTGCTGGGAATTGAACCCATGTTCTCTGGAACAGCAGCCATTGCTCTTAACCACTGAGCCAGCACTCCAGACTGATAGCTTGTTATTAGAGGCAGGATCTCTCATGTAGCTCAGGTGGGCCTCCATCTCAACATGGAGGATGA